GTGGAATAACAATGGGATGAGGTGGAAAAGTCTCTCAAATTAGGTGGAAAACACCCAATGAGGCAGAAAGACACTGGGATGAGATGGGAAAACACCGGGATGGGGCAGGAAGCCATCGGGATAAGGTGGGAAAGCCACCGGGATGAGGTGGGAATCCACCAGAATAAGGTGGGAAGCCACCAGGATAAGGTGGGAATCCACCAGGATAAGGTGGGAAGCCACCGGGATGAGGCAGAAGCCACTGGGATAAGGTGGGAAAACACCGGGATGAGGCGGGAAACCACTGGGATAAGGTGGGAATCCATCAGGTTAAGGTGGAAAAGCCACCGGGATAAGGTGGGAATCCACCGGGATAAGGCGGGAATCCACCAGGATAAGGTGGGAATCCACCGGGATAAGGTGGGAATCCACCGGGATAAGGTGGGAATCCACCGGGATGAGGCGGGAGCCGCCCAAACTCAGCAGGAAAATCCCGGGACGAGGCAGGAACACCCGAATTTGAGGCAGGAACACCCGAATTTGAGGCGGAAACGCCCGAATTTGAGGCGGAAACGCCGCCGGAAGCGCCCCCGGAATTCCGGGAGCGAGGAGGAATCCCGAGCCCTGGGAACAGCAGCTCTTCCCAGGAGCTACAAGGAGAAGTAATCCAGGGCCCCGTGTCCGTAGGGGTTGTAGGTCCAGACGACGTGGGATCTCCCGGAGCTCTCCAGGAGCCGCCCCAGCTCGGCGCTGGCCGCTCCCAAGCGTTCCCGATCCAGCCGCTCCTCCAGGATCCAGCGGGAGCCGGAGCGGCGCTGGTGGAGCCCCGGCTTGTAGCAATCCACGGGCACCGGGTACACGACCAACCGGAGCTCCGGGAATTCCGCCGTCTTCCAGAGGAGCTCCTTGAGGCCGGAGGTGCTCAGGGAATTCCCGAAGAGTCCCAGGAACTGGAGGCGGGAGCAGCGGCGGAGCGAGGCCAGCAGAGAGTCCAGGTGGGAATCCGTCAGGCGGCATTCCATGAGATCCAGGTGGAGCAGGGAGGCCGAGGTCTCCTCCAGGAGCTGCCGGAGGGGCTCCAGGAGGCTCTGGGAGAAGTCGTGGCCGCTCAGGTCCAGCCGCTTCAGGGCCGGCGCGTGGAAGCTCTGGGACAGGAAGGCGAAGTCGGCGGGGAGGAGGGAGCAGAAGGCCAATTCCAGGCTTTCCAACGGAGCCTGGAGCTCGCTGGGGGGAGAGGGAAAGGGAGAGGTGACCCCTCTGTGTGGGATCCGAGGGATCGTGGAGTTATGGAGTCGTGGAGTTATGGGGTCGTGGAGTTATGGGGCCGTGGAGTTATGGGGCCGTGGAGTTATGGGGTCGTGGAGTTATGGGGTCGTGGAGTTATGGGGTCGTGGAGTTATGGGGTCGTGGAGTTATGGGGTCGTGGAGTTATGGGGCCGTGGAGTTATGGGATCGTGGAGTTATGGGGTCGTGGAGTTATGGGGTCGTGGAGTAAAGAGGTCGTGGAGTAAAGAGGTCGTGGAGTTATGGGGTCGTGGAGTTATGGGGCCATGGAGTTATGGGATCGTGGAGTTATGGGGTCATGGAATTATGGGATCTTGGGGGTTAGGAGATCATGGAGCCTTGGGGTCATGGAATCGTGGGGTCATGGAATCGTGGGGTCATGGAGTTATGGGATCTTGGAGTTGAGTTATGGGATCTTGGAGTTATGGGATCATGGACCTCCAAGGCCACCAAACCCAACCTTTGCCACTCCAAACCCACCAAACCCAACCTCTTCTGCTCCTCCAAGGCCACCAAACCCAACCTTTGTCGCTCCTCCAAGGCCACCAAACCCACCAACCTCTCCCACTCCTCCCTGGGGCCGCGCCAGGAATTCCGACGCCGGGAACTCACCATAGGACCTGCCTGAGGTTCCCGGAGAGCCGTGACGATCCCAGGTTGAGCTCCTTGAGGCTGGGCAGCTTCCCCAGCTCCCTGGCCAGGCAGCGGATCCCCAGCACCAGCTCCGGCGTCGACCTCCTGACGTCCACGTTGCTGTACTGCAGCTTGAGGCTCCGCAGGTCCGGGAACTGGGACAGGTGGAGCAGCACCACGGAGAGCCCGGTGAGGCCGAGGTTGCGGAAGCGCAGGTCCACCCGGCGCACCCCGGCGGGATCCAGGGATTTCAGCAGGCTCACGATGCCGTCCACCGACAGCTTCTCGGCCTGGAATTCCCGGCAGCGCAGGCGTAAGGGGCCGGCGTTCCCGGTCTGGAGGGCGTCCCGCAGGATCCCGTAGGACGTGCGGTTGACGAAGAAGTCGGCGTGGACGTCGACGCCGGCGGAACGCGGCGCGGTGACGGCGGCGCCGGAACGGCCCTTGTGGCGCTTGGCGCCGCGCCGCTGGAATTCCCGGGATTCCCGGTGGTGCTTGGAGACCTCGACGCAGGCCTTGGCCAGGGCCACGGTGCCCGACCAGACGCTCATCCCGTCCGGGCCACGGCCCGTCGTGGCGTCGTCCGGCAGACCCGTCACGTCCAGCACGCGCAGGCGGCAGCGGCTGGGGAAGGAGGGAAAAGGTGGGAAAAGAGGGAATGGATGGGAGGAGAAACGTCTGAGGACGGAGGGATGGGGTGGTTGTATCCTGGAATTCTCAATTGCCAAGTTGGGCCAGGAAAATGGGAAAACTCGGGGAAAAATAAGCAGGAAAACACCCAAGGAGAAAGGAAAAGTGGGAAACCCGGGAATAAATAAGCAGGAAAGTGCCCAAGGAGGAAGGAATTGGGTTGTTGTATCCCAGTGTCATGACACCCAGAATTCCCAACCCGCCTGGAATCACACTGGCTGCAGTGGGAAAAGTGGGAAAACTGGGAATGGACTAGCGGGAAAACACCCGAGGAGGGAGGAATGGGGTGGTTGTATCCTGGAATTCTCAATCGCCAAGTTGGGCCAGGAAAAGTGGGAAAACTCAGGGAAAAATAAGCAGGAAAACACCCAAGGAGGAAGGGATGGGGTCATTGTATCCTGGAATTCCAAATCGCCAAGCTGGACTGGGAAAAGTGGGAAAACTGGGAATGAATGGGTGGGGAAATGCCTGAGGAGGGAGGAATGGGGTGGTTGTATCCTGGAATTTCCAGTTGCCAAACCGGGCCGGGAAAAGTGGGAAAACTGGGAATGAATAAGCAGGAAAATGCACGAGGAGGAAAGGAATGGGGTTGTTGTATCCCGGAATTCCCAACCCGCCTGGAATCACGGCCAGGCTGGAAAAAGTGGGAAACCCAGGAATGAATAAGCAGGAAAATGCCCAAGGAGGAAGGAATGGGTCAGTTGTACCCCAGAATTCCCAATCACCAAGCTGGGCCGGGAAAAGTGGGAAAACTGGGAATGAACAAGCAGGAAAATGCATGAGGAAGGAATTGGGTTGTTGTATCCTGGAATTCCCAATCGCCAAGTTGGGCCAGGAAAAGTGGGAAAACTGGGAAAGAATAAGCAGGAAAATGCACGAGGAGAAAAGGATTGGGGTGGTCGTATCCCGGAATTCCCAACCTGCCTGGAATTGGGTTGTTGTATCCCGGAATTCCCAACCCGCCTGGAATTGGGTTGTTGTATCCCAGAATTCCCAACCCGCCTGGAATCGCACTGGCTGCAGTGGGAAAAGTGGGAATGGACGGGTGGGGAAATGCCCGAGGAGGGAGGAATGGGGTGGTTGTATCCCGGAATTCTCAATCGCCAAGTTGGGCCAGGAAAAGTGGGAAAACTCAGGGAAAAATAAGCAGGAAAACACCCAAGGAGCAAGGAATTTTGTTGTTGTATCCCGGAATTCTCAATTGCCAAGCTGGGCCAGGAAAAGTGGGAAAACTGGGAATGAATAAGCAGGAAAATGCACGAGGAGGAAGGAGTTTGGTTGTTGTATCCCGGAATTTCTGACCCGCCTGGAATCGCACTGGCTGGGCCAGGAAAAGTGGGAAAACTGGGAATGAACAAGCAGGGAAACACCCGAAGAGGAAAGGAACGGGTTGTTGTATCCCAGAATTCCCAATCGCCAAGATGGGCCGGGAAAAGTGGGAAAACTGGGAATGAACAAGCAGGAAAATGCCCCAGAGGCAAAGGACGGGACTGTTGCATCCTGGAGTTCCTGGAATCGCACCGGCTGGGCCAGGAAAAGTGGGAAAACTGGGAATGAACAGTCAGGAAAATGCCCAAGGAGGAAGGAATTGGGTTGTTGTATCCCAGAATTCCCAACCCGCCTGGAATCGCACTGGCTGGGCCAGGAAAAGTGGGAAACCCAGGAAAAAATAAGCAGGGAAACGCCACAGGAGAAAAGAACTGGGTGTTGTCGTATCCCGGAATTCCCAATCGCCAGCTGAGCCAGGAAACATGGGAAACCCAGGAATAAATAAGCAGGGAAAAATAAGCAGGAAAACGCCCAAGGAGGAAGGAACTGGGTGTTGTTGAATCCTGGAATTCCCAACCCACCAGGAATTGGGTGTTGTCGCATCCCAGAATTCCCAATCGCCAAGCTGGGCCAGGAAAAGTGGGAAACCCAGGAATAAATAAGCAGGGAAAAATAAGCAGGAAAACG